GGTTGACGCCTTAAACACAGATACATGATGGGTAATCTGCCAGGCTGAATGGCAAGATGCGGGGGCACTGAAAGGGAGAGGTGAGTGAGCAGACTGCTGTCTGCATTGCACCAGGGACACACACACATGGCATGTTATACCGTTTGACACCCTTGGGATCAGCGGAGAAAGGTTCGGACTGAAGCGTCAAATCTTCGTTCCAGGGCAGATCAAGGTTACACGAGTAGACGCCCGTAAGGACCCAGCTGGACTCTCCTCCACTCCTCTGACCGAGCTGGGAATCTGTCATAGGGAGGGAGGGAGGGAGGGAGGGGGGCCAGGTCAGGAAGCAGGAGAAACGGTCCTTGGTACAAACGAGAGCGACATTTCAAGCTCGCTTGTACCTGGCCGAGTAAAAATCAGCATGCAAACCGTGTCTGCTTGTCGCCTCGAAAGGCTAGCATGTCACTTTGACGACACTATGTCTACTCATCTATCCGCGTTGCTGATGTTTTGTCTGATCCTAGTCAACGTAAAGACCATGCTCACCTGTTTGCTAAGCCAGGACTAAACCAACAAGATCCCATTGCAACTGACATCATCAATAGAAAACGGGAACTGGATGAATTAGATAAATAAAGATATCAAATCGTATGTCAAACAGAATGTGAATCTCAGATCAGTATCAACCAGGCATCTTTCATGACCGTGATATTTTGTCGCTTTCAGAAGAATGTTTTCTCTGAATTATGTCCTAGCACGCCAAATCATGTTTGACTGGTTGGATTTCTTCTAACTCGAAGTTTTTTTATCTCTAGCAAATTTGTACCTTCTCGCTGGAATCCCTCTCTTCTTTCCACTCCTCCCCCTCCTCCTCCCCCTCCTCCTCCCCCTCCTCCTCCCCCTCCTCCTCCCCCTCCTCCTCCCCCTCCCGTCCCCCCTCCCCCGCACCCTCCCCCCCACCCTCCCCCGCACCCTCCCCCTCCCCCCTTCGCTTCCCGCTCCCTTTCCCATGAGATGCCCAGTAAAAATTCTCCCTGGTGCGGGCCTGGACGATGATGGAGGGGTGAGGGTCCCATGGTGTAGGTGTGACAATGCCGCTAGTTTGCGGTCGCAACAAAGAGGTACGAGGAGAGGAGAGGAGAGGAGAGGAGAGGAGAGGAGAGGAGAGGAGAGGAGAGGAGAGGAGAGGAGAGGATAGGAGGCAGAGGAGAGGAGAGGAGAGGAGAGGAGAGGAGAGGAGGGGAGGGGAGGGGAGGGGAGAGGAGGGGAGAGGAGAGGAGATGAGGAAGAGTAGCTATGACACAGGGCAGAGGAACAGTCGGAGGGTGAGTAAGGGGTAGATGCAAAAGGAAGGGGAGGGGAGGGAAAGATGGCGACCGGGAGAGATTATCCATGGGAGAATGCTAAGAGAGACAGTGATGAAAGACAGAATGAAGGAGGCAAAGGAAAATCGAGCAGATGGGTCGGAAGATATTTGATCCATCTGTTCCTGTTCTTCTTTTGGTTCCCAAACAATGGTCGCTTGTTGGTACAGGGACTCGGTAATTACCCTGTTTATTTGACTTTGTTACAATGCACTTCCACTCACCAGCATTGGACTAGATGGTTGTGTTGTTTCTAGTTCATTCACTGTTGCACAGGCAGACGGCTTATTAGCGATGACACGTTGCCATGGGGCGGTGCGAATGTGTCAAGTCTTGGTTCTCAGCATTCTAGCAAGCGAAGCAACAGCATTTCTTATCTCACCTCTCGGTTATATGCAAATTAATCGTTTACAAAGCCCTCAATCATTCGCACACAAACCAGCTCTGCTCTGGACCAAAAAACGCACACGAACTAATGGGCTTCAGTTACGAATGGAACATATTGGAAGGAGATATTTCCTCTGGAGATTTGCTGAATGGGCTTTTGAGAAAGTTATGGTGTTTGCACAGGTATAAAATTCTTCTGCAATTTGTGAGGATGATTTGATGGAAAAAATTCACAGATATCTATAACCTTGGTATACAATTTCATTAAGAGATTCCAAAATTCAGCACAGATTGATAGAAGGATGTATGATCTACGATATCCAACATACAAATCAGTCAAGGCAGCTTCAGGTACAGACAAAGCTCACCTTGCCTCCAGAGCAGAATCATCTCCTCAAATGACACCAAAAGCCTCTGCACCAAGCTTGGTAATTCCCTCGATTTCGGTTCCATGCATGATTTCGATCTCATATTCGTTCAAGGCAGGAGTTGAACACTCAACCAATCAAGGGAAAACTATCCTTTCATTTGGTGTGTAAGTCAATTTCGCTTCATGGGATACTAATTCAACCAATCAACAGTTTTGTTGATATTTCCAATCGTCACAATGTTTGCGTCTATGTTGGTCGAGGAAAGGAACATCCATGTCTACGCACAATCGATATCGTGGCTGTGCTTATGCGTGAGAAACTCTTAACTCGATTCTTCTCGTGAGGGTTCTGACATTTACCTCGTCTTTAGCTTTTATTCGTCGATTTTGCTTCTGGTTCATCCAGCGGACTGACAATCTTTGTGCGAAAGAGGTTGCCAATGTCTGTAAGACGCCTGCTGGCGTTTCCTAGGTACACGAAAGCGGTGAATGTACTGAGATTAAGTTTTGTTTAATTGCAGGCCGTGGATTTATGAAAACAAACTTGGAGTAAGTTTCCACTCTGAATGTTTGATTTGATTCGATTAACTTTAATGCAGTCGAAGAAGAAATATCTATCTCGAACTGAATTGTAGAACATTTGCTGTCACGGTATCTCCTTTGCATCATCGCAGATTGAAGATACGCCAGAGTCTGACTTATCCGGTACGGGGGTTCAGAATATCGAGCCTCGTGTTCAATGAAGACCGTTCAACTGACTGAAGGTTTCTGATCCCGGTTGCGCCCTGGCTCTCAGGACTCCTCACTTGCCCACGTAAAATCAGACGTCAAATATGTCTGACATTACACAGATATTACAGACAGACATCTGTACCTCATTTACAGACAGACATCTGTACTTCATTTACAGACGGACATCTGTACTTCATTTACAGACAGACATGTGTACTTCACTTACAGACAGACATCTGTACTTCACTTACAGACAGACATCTGTACTTCATTTACAGACAGACATGTGACAGTGTACTTCATAGCTGACTTCATAGACTTTTTAGTGCTGCTGTATGAGGGGGATGATACATATGTGAAAGGTCATCCATCCACCCTACCTTTGTCCATCCACCCCCACCCACCCTACTTCACTTTTGAGTACCCTACCCAGTCAAATACACCCGGCCATATAGACATTTAGCGGGTATTGTGGTCTACCCCACCCCCTACAGACAACAGAAGTACGGTGGGGCGGTAACTTTGCCATGACTCCTCTGCATCCTCTTAGGAGCTTCAATTTCCCTCCTCTTACCGTACCTGCACCATCTTGGCTGGGGGATGAAGGACGATATTGCGGCGTATCCAAGACCACTCTACCCTCTCTGCCCTGCTCTGATATCTCTCTCTCTCTCTCTCTCTCTCTCTCTCTCTCTCTCTCTCTCTCTCTCTCTCTCTCTCTCTCGCGCTCTCTCTCTCTCTCTCTCTCTCTCTCTCTCTCTCGGGCGCTTTGTTGCGTT